CAAGCTGGGGGCAGAGTGTTTCAGGAGGAGAAATGGCAAGCACAAAAAGCATCCTGTGACTAAGAGGGGTGCACGAGAGACAAGTGGGGATGGGAGGAGATGGGGAAGGGCCAGGGTGGCCATACAGGTGGAGGAAAGAAGCTTGAAGTTCATTCTCAGCACAGTGAAGACTTTGAAGGGTCTTAAAGATCACCCAGCCAAAACGCTAGCTAGGAGGCTGTGCAGGTGTCCAGGGGAGAGGTAACAGTGTCCTGGACCAGGAAGATGGCTATAGAGCGGGACACACATAGCTGAGGATATGAGGGGACTAGAGATGTATTTTGGAGCCAGAGCAAGCAGGATATTAGTCCACCATGAGTCTTGCAGAGATGTGGACCTCAAGGAGAAACCACTGGAAGCCTTCAGAGTCAATATGGGGACTTCATAATGAAAATAAGCCCAGGCCGGGCCCAGTGGCTCACGCCTGTAATCCCAGCTACTCGGGAGGCTGAGGTGGGAGAATCGCTTGAACCCGGGAGGCAGAGTTTGTGGTGAGCCGAGATCGCACCATTGCACTCCAGCCTGGGCAACAAGAGAAAAACTCTGTCTCAAAAAAAAAAGAAAAAAAAGGAATCTTGATGCTGGTAATACTCAACCATCCCTTTTGCCTAAGGAACTTGGGCTGCGACAACATCCGCATTCAGCGGCAGCAGGTCCAGGCCAGCTTTTTTTAGACTCCGATCCTTCTTACTATTTTTTAAACACACTTGTCTCTTTCAACCTCCTTTCCACAAACATAGAGGAGATGGGTCATATGGAAGCCAAAGAATAGATATTAGGAATTCACAGTCAACTGGAAAAGAGGAAGGACATGGCAGAGCAGGGACGCCTGAGCTCAAATGCCGGCCTGGCTGCTGTATCTCCACCTATGGCCGTACAGAAGTCAATGCAAGGCTCTGAGCCTTCTCCTTCCTCACCTAGTAGATGGAGTGATGATATCAAGCTCATGATCGAGGTTGGTCTCAAAAGGAATAGACAAGCTTGCAAATGAAATGTGTAGCATCCATCAGTACCTACCCCAGAGGGTCCCAAATCTCAGTGCACTTTGTAGCCGGACTTGGGCCTGTGGAGCCCAGCCCCAGGTTCCACAGGCCCAAGTCCGGCTACAAAGTGCACCGAGAGTTCAGCGTGTCTCACTCAGTGCTCGTTTACAACTGGAAAGCCCCAAGGGCAAGAGGGCAGCTTGTATAGACTTGCCTGATTGTACTTTTGCCAAGAGGTTGGTACACTGCTGTGAGAATACCAGGAACACTCCACAAATATCTCAGATACTTTGGTGAAGGCCAGGTGCAATAGCTCACACCTGTAATCGCAACACTTTGGGAGACAGAGGCAGGAGGATTGCTTGAGGCCAGGAGTTCAAGACAGCCTGGGCAGTATAGTGAGAATCATTTCTATAAAGAAACTTTTAAATAAAATTAGCTGAGTGTGGTAGCCGCACCTGTGTGCCTAGCTACTTGGGAGGCTGATACAGGAGGATCACTTGAGCCAGGAGGTCGAGGCTGCAGTGAGTCATGATAGTGCCACTGCACTCCAGCCTAGGCAACAGAGAGAGAGACCCAGTCTCAAGAAAAGAAAAAAAAAGCCAATGAAACCAAGCAACCAGACCGTGGATATCCTGACTCCGCATCCAGAGTTGGATCCACAAGACAGGTCTTACAGCCATTTGGCCACTCACAAAAAGACAAGAAATGTCTGAGTGTTCCAGTGTCTGGATCCAGTGGGACACAAATGACCAAGTTTTCAAGATGGAAACGAAATAAGAGGAACACCCATTCATAATGTGAAACGTTGAAACCAAAACCAGGAAAAAGTGCAGGCCTTCCCTCTCATCGGCAGCCAGAATAAAGGAAAGAGAAGGTGGCAGAGCAAAAAAGAGGGTGGAGGAAACAAAAAGGAAAGAAAGGAGCAACAGAAGTAGGGCACAGAGCCAAGAGGGAATGAGATTCCCTGAGATGAATGGTTAAGACAGGGCAGCAGAGAACAGAGTAAGGTTGAGGGCATGGGTGTGGCGGGATCTGGGCTGGGAGGGGGGGCTCAGGGAGCAGAGCTACTTCAGGGAGCCCACACGAGGCCATGAAGTAACAGGAAATCGGGAGTGTTCACAGACTCCACAGGGATTCAAATCCTCACAGGCAGCCATAGACAAATCACAGCTCCATGAAGACAACTGAGGGGAGGCTGATTGTAAATTCACACCCACGAGGCCAAAGCCTTAACCTGGAAGCCAGAGCAACTGCATCTCCAGGAAACAAAAGAGCCTGAATGGAAAGAAACGAAGCAGTCGGGGAGACACAGTGCCGGGCTTGGCTGGACGTCCCAGTCTGGGGCCCATTAGGAAAATGAGAAGCCTTTCAGCAAGCCAGACTGAGCAAGCTGTTTCCCTGATTCAGAGACTTCTCCAGCTGAACCTTCAGTTCAAAAGGTGCCCTTTCCTCCAGCAAGCTAACGGGACAAATGACGAGGGTCCAGTTCAGCTCCACACCACTCAATGTCCTCAGTAGAGAGGGGCTGTTCTGGATTGCCCAGAATGCATTCTCTGTCTTTCGGCAGCAGCAACTGACTTTTGCTCCAGCACCCACCCCTCCCCATTCCTCCCCCAGGTGCCACCTTCTGGCTCTACTGTAGGGCATGTGGGTTGGGTAAAAGGGGTTGAGTAAAAACTAATGTGTAGGCCAGGCATGGTGGCTCATACCTGTAATCCCAGCACTTTGGGAGGCCGAGGCGGGCAGATCACCTGAGGTCAGGAGCTCAAGACAAGCCTGGTCAACATGGTGAAACTCCGTCTCTGCTAAAAATACAAAAATTAGCTGGGCATGGTGGTGTGTGCCTGTAATCCCAGCTGCTCCAGAGGCTGAGGCACAATAATCGCTTCAACCCAGGAGGCAGTTAAGCAAAACGACAAGATCACACCACTGCACTCCAGCCTAGGCGACAGAGCAAGACTCAATCTCCAAAAAAAAAAAAAAATAGCTAATGTGTATAATCCTACTGTCCTATTCATAGGAGGTGGGTGCAGAACTGGTTGATGTTTCCTAAACTGGTCCAGTGAGAGCAAAACCCAAGATTTTGTTTAACAATTGAAGAAAGGGATAGTCTTTTCCCTGCTGGATGTGAATTGGAAGTACCATAGCCCTGGGGGCCATAGGTAACTATCTTGTGACAATGAGGAGAGAATCTTCATGAACCTGGAGCCAAACTAGGGGAAAACAGGCTAAGTTTCTTCATCTAGGTTATATTATTTCTGTATCAAGATGCTCCTGAAGTCCCCCAGGCAGTTCATTTAAGCAAATCAACAAATTCCCTTTAATGATTAATCCAGTTGGGTTTGTTTCCTGTCATATGCAATGAAAAGACTCCTAACACAATGTCTTACTGATCTTATGCATGATCACCTTACTTTGGGCAATCATCATCTAAAAATAAAAGCAAGTTCTAGGGTAAACACATGTGGGAAACAAATTTCAGTACATTGAATCATTTCAATGTGAGGAATTAGAGGGGCTCACGACCTGTTAGAATGGCTAAACTTTTTTAAACTGACCATATCAAGTGTTGGGGAGGAGGTGGAGGAACTGGAACACTCATATACCTCCAGGATGTTGGAGCTTTGTATAATAACTACACTGGGAGATGGGGTGTGATGGGGAACTCATTGAGAAGCATGGGAGTCCAGGGGGCAGGAAGAACTCCACATAACAGGGCAAGATGGAACTCATCATAATGAGATTAATGCTGCTCTCTACTTTGTCCTAAATCCCCTCGTTCTCCATTTACCCCACTCATCCTATCCTGCCTCTAACCACCACCATCGACACCTGACCTGATCTGTCCACACAGATGGGCACATCACTTGACCCCTCTGGCCTCTGCTGCCTCCACTCTGTAGTGGGAGTTATACCCCAAAGGCAGGGGGCTGGGCATGTTCTCCCCAAGGCACTGGAGCAGGAAAAGGGCTGCGACCAGAAGCAGCCCATTCCAGGTCAAGTAGTTTTCTCTGGCTCGACTTGGCATGAGAAGAGAAACTGGGCCAGCCACATTTCCTGCACTAGGAATCTGAACCAGGGCTCACTGTGACGATGGACAACAATCAGTGGAAGCCGAGCTGGAAGGGTCTGGGGGAAGAGTAGAGTGATGGGGGCTCAGGGTGACTCCAAACCATATGGAAGCCAAAGTGGGGAGTGAACAGAAGGGTCAGAGAAGAGATGTACAGAACAAAGGATGAAGACCCTCAGAGAGTAGTGAGGGGGAAAGAGCAGACACTCAACAAGAAGCAGAGACAGTGGCAGTGGGGGATGGTCACAGCTCCCAGGGCCACCTCAGGCCCCAGCAGCTTCCTGGTTCCCATTTTGCTCCTCTGTATTCTTCACAACCTACCCCTCCCTTCAAGAGGCCTTGAGGGGTCCCCAAGCCTGAGGTTCAGCCAAAGATTCCCGAGGCCTCCTCTCTCCAGCTCCAGCACCCAGAAGCCTCTGAGACCTCTACCCCTGAGAGCTACAGACTGACCGATGTCCCGCAGGAGGTGACCACATGGCTTCTCACCTCTTACAAGGGGAAACTCACTCATTTCAGTGGCTCACTTCTTATCCACATTACAATTTCAGACCCAGGAATTCAAAATTCAGTCAGGCAAGCTTACTTTCTTAGACATGCAAGTCTCCTTGAAAAGCTAAGAAGTTGAGAATCACTGTGTCTTCTAAAACAATCTCAGAAGACAAGAAACCAAAAAAAGCCCAAACGAAAGTATGGAGTAAAAGCATTTCTTTGGACTACAAGGGTACAGAGAGACCAGCTGTGTGTGTGTTTTCCCTTTAGTTCATTGACCTGTTTAACCTTCCATGAATCTCCAAGCCTGGCCCATGAGGGACCCTGAGGCTGAGAAGATGGAAGAATCATGGTACCCTCATGGAGAGGCAAGGATTGCCCATAGGAGAGCTCAAGGGAGACTTCTGGAGTAATAGAAATATTCTGGCCAGGTGGGGTAGCTCACACCTGTAATCCCAGCACTTTGGGAGGCCGAGGCAGATCATCTGATGTCGGGAGTTCAAGACCAGCCTGGCCAACATAGCAAAACCCCATCTCTACTAAAAATACAAAAATTAGCCGGACATGGTGGCAGGCACCTGTAGTCCCAGCTATTCGGGAGGCTGAGGCAGGAGAATCATTTGAACCCAGGAGGCAGAGATTGCAGTGAGCCAAGATCACACCACCATACTCCAGCCTGGGTGACAGAGCTAGACTCCGTTTCAAAAAAAAAAGAAAAAAAAGAAATATTCTGTAGCTTGGTCTGGGTAGTGGTTCCACAAGTGTAAACATATGAAAAATTTATCAGTTTGAACACTTAAGATTGATACAGTTTATCCAGGAATTCCGAAACTCCTAGTTTTATATTCAAAAGCATTGGAAGCAGGGACTCAAACAGATACTCCTACACCAGTGTGCACCAGCAGCATTATTCACAAGAGCCAAAGAGTGGAAACAACCCAAGCGTCCATCAACAAATAAACAGATAAACAAAATGTGGTGTATACATGCGATGGGATATTATTCAGTCATGAAAAGGAATGAAATTTTCATGTATGCTGTAACACAGACAGCCCTTGGAAAAATTATAATGATATACACCAGACACCAAAGGATAAATGCTGCATGATTTCATTTATCCAAGTTACCTGGAATAGGCAAATTCGTAGAGACACAAAGTAGAGTAGAGGTTACCAGGGTCCGGGGATAGGGATGAACGGGAAGTTACTGGTACTGAGCACAGACAGAGATTTTGTTGGGGAGGATGGAAAAATTGGGGGTATAGATAATGGTGATGACTACGCAACACCGTGACTGTATTTAACGCCACCAAATTGTATACTTACAAACGGCTCAAATGGTTAAATATTATATTATGTATATTTTACCACAAAAAAGTCATACTTAGCATATGCATGTTATACCTCAATTCAAGAAATGGGGAAGCCAGTTGTGGTGGCGCACACCTGTAGCCTCAACTACTCAGGAGGCTGACGTGGGAGGACTACTCAAGCCCAAGAGTTCAAGATCGGCCTGGGCAACACAGCAAGATCTTGTCTCTAAAAAAAACCTTCTTTTGATACAGGGTCTCTCTGTCCACCCAGGCTGTAGTGGGGTGGTGCAATCACGGCTCACTGCGGCTTCAACTTCTCAGACTCAGGTGATCCTCTCACCTCAGCCTCCCAAGCAGCAGGGCCTACAGGCATGCACCACCATGCCCAGCTAATTTTTGTATTTTTTGTAGAGACAGGATTTTGCCATGTTGCCCAGGCTGGTCGTGAACCTGGGCTCAAGGAAGTCTCCCACCTTGGCCTCCCAAGTGCTGGGATTACAGGCATGAGCCATGTCTAGGAAAAATATTATTATTATTATTATTTAAAAATAGATAAAAAATTTTAAAAACTAATGGGGGGAGTGTGGTTGCCCCTATTGACACTCTGAGTGCCATAAACGCCTTTTTCCATTCGGAGACACACCCACATCCATGCATCCAGGATACTTTGCTAGGCTGTGTAGCAGATCTTGGATTCAAACTCAGGTCTGCACATCCAGAGACCGGGACTAAAGACCCTCCCATAAATCAACCTCTCTCTTCTAAGCTGGTCAATCCATTCTGCTCAGATTAAGGACTGTCCCCATCTTGCCAGGAACAGCTGTGGCTGCTGAACTCTCTTCACCACGTGGCTCAACAAGATGAACCACAACCTGGGTCACTTGGAGCCAGTGTCCTTACTGCATCCGAACTGGCCCCAGAGTGCCTATGAAGCCTTTCTGCCTGCAGAAAACACCTGATTCCCTTGTTTATAAAAAGCAACTAGCTCAGAAGGTGTGGCTGAAACCAAAAACGACAAAACCTCCCAAATCCAATGATGAATTTAATCCCACCTGGCACCAGGAAGCATAGACAGGGACTATCCACTCCACCCTTCCTTTTCTGAGGCAGAATAAACATAGATGCCCATGACACAACTTTCCACCCTCTGTGCACACCAACTTGTTCTGCTCTGCCAGGTACATTTGAACAACATGTTTGTGACAAAGATCTTACATTATATTCAATAACATCAACAACCTTTAAAGAGAGAAAAGCAGTGTTTCCATAGACCATGGAGTTTAGAGGTTAAAGCATCCTTCAATATCCTCCCACCAAATCTCTTCATTTTCCCGGAAGAAAAAAACACAGGGAGGGAATAATGGGGATCACTGATATTTGGGGTTAGATAGCCCCAAGTCTGAACTTGACTTTGATGCTTACTAGTCATAAGATCTCAGACAGGTTGAGTTACAGTCTTTTGGGGCATCATTTGCTCATCTGAAAAATGGAGATAATAATACCAACCCCATAGAGTTGTTGTGAGGATGAAATAATATTCAATGATCTAGAGCCTGGCATGTGCCTTTCTCACTGTGGTAGACACTCTTCATCATCACTGTCATCATCAGGATCCTCCTCCTCATCATCATCAACATCATTAAGAAACTAAGGCCCAGGGAGATGAGGGATTTGTCCAAAATGACACTGCTGTGGCTTGTGGCAAAACAAAGTGTCCCACACAAATGGTTTTTTCCATTTCATCATCCTGAGACAGCACTATTGCCTGGGCCTAGAAATTTACAGCACTTCATGGAAAATATTTGAAATTATACAGCTTTTCCACATTCCAAATTAGAAGCCCAGCTTGATGGCCAAGAGTCTTCAGCAGAGAAACAGGCTTTGTAGAGTACAAATGTTAAAATCAAGGAGTATGAACCTCTACCCTCTCTCCCTCCACCTTGGAGCCTGGGATTCCCGAGGGGGTTAGCCACAGGGCTGGAGGAGGCCCAAATGTTCACCTACAGTAGCGAAGCACAAGGCTTGCCCAGGAAGGCCTCAGAGCTGTTGGAAAGCCTAAGTCTGAAAGAGGGCTAGGATGAAATTGTGAAGGGAGCAGATAGTGGCCATCATGGTAACATTTGTGGAGAACCTAGCGTGGCATGTACCAGAGTCCATTTTAAGCACCTTACATCCATTAGATTTTTTTTAACCCTCCAACCCTGTGAAATAGGCAAATGCATCATCCACAAGTGAGGAAGCTGAGGCAAAGGGAATGTTACAGACTCAATCCCCGAAGGGATTTTTCACTTCTCATTGCTGAAATCTGGCTACACCAGGATACCCAACTTGCCTTCCAAAACCTGGGAACTTCTAGGGGTTTTCCCAAGTTGTCTTTCCATCCAAACTGCCTTTCCTCTGTCTCTGGAGTAATCCTATTCCTCCTTCAAGGCTTAACAGAAATGTTACCTCCTCTGACTTTTCCAGGCATTATTATACATTTTGCCTTCTGACTCATTCACCTGGAAGCTCAGCGCTTACCATGTTGTATTATAGTTAATTGAGGTGGGTGGGGGAGGTCATGTTGTATTAATTGAGGTGGATGAGGGAGGCGCAGTGTGTGAATTCATGCATGCACACACATACATGCAAGAATGCCCCTGCACCACGGGTGAGCTCAAGAAAGGGCAGAATTGTGTTTCATGCCTTTATATCTCCAGTATAGTATTGCTTGGTGCACATAAAAGATGACCAATAAAGGTTTGTTGGAATTCTTTTTTTAATACCTATCGTCACACAGCTTGTACAGGAGACACTAGGACATCCTCAATATAACTTGTCTCCCAAATCCAAGAGCTCACGTGATCTTTTGAAATATGTTATCTCAAAAGTTGCTGATGGTTAGATGTACACAGGAACGCAGTTTCCAATGAGTGATTTACCACTATGAGTTAATTGAACCAGTGGGCAAAGATACACATTCAATGATGTTCATTGCAGCCTTGTTTATAATGGAAAAAATGGAATCACCCTAAATGGTCAGCCATGGAGAACTGGTTAGGATATCTCAGTGTGTACCCAAAATGAAATGCCATGTCACTTAAAATGATTCTATAGCTCTGTGTACTGATACGAAAAGTTCTCTGCGATGTATTCCTGAGTTTTTTGTTAAAGCAGGTTACAAAACTGCATCATTAATATTTAGGCATACTTACATAACTATGAACATCTTCACATGTGCTTAGGGAGAAGTTTTGAAGTGAGTTCACCAAAATTAACAGTGATTATACTTGTGTAGAGATACTTTGGGTAGTTTTTGCTTTCTTTTTATACATTTCTGTGCTCATTAAACTTTTTACTTTGAGAATGTATTGTTTATATAACCAGAAGAAAACAGTAATTATATTTTCATTTTGGAAGAAAATATGTATAATCTCAAAAGAGGTTTTGTAGATTCATGGGTGACAAAACTCCAAACTGCTTCCTGCAAACAGTTAGAGACCCTTAAACATAGAGGGTGTCATTGCCTGTCCAGGGACCCTAATTTTTCCTTCTGGGAAATGAGTGTAGTACCCCTGCTCTGGCTACTGCACAGGGCTGCAACAGGGAGCTAATGGGTTTGAAACTGTTTTGAAAAATAAAAAGTACGAATAGATTGCAAAATGTGAATTCTTATAATTCAATCATTGCTGATTAAGAATTTGCAATAAACTAGTAAGTTATGTGATATGGTTTGGATTTGTGTCCTCGTCCAAATCTCATGTCAAATTGGAATCCCTGGTGTTGGAAGCGGGGCCTGGTGGGAGGTGATTGGATCATTGGGGTAGACTTCCCTTTCACTGTTCTCGTGATAGTGAGTGAGTTCTCAAGAAACCCAGTGGCTTAAAAGTGTGTGGCACCTCACCCTTCTCTCTCTTTCTCCTGCTCTGGCCATGTAAGCCATGCCTCCTTCCTCTTCACCTTCCACCATGACTGTAAGTCTCCTGAGGCCTCCCTAGGCATTCTTCCTGTATATCCTGTGGAACTATGAGTCAGTTAAACCTCTTTTCCTTGTAAATTATCCAGTCTCAGGCAGTTCTTTATAGCAATGTGAGAATGGACTAATCCAGCATGCTTTAGGAGCTGTGACTTCAAATGCCCATGGGGACCAGGCAGGTCAGAGAGACCTGCAGGGCCTCTGGAGTCCTGGCCCAGTGATTTCTGAAGAGAAACCTGAAA